TGTCCACATGTCAAAAACACGGCAGGACGTTCATCACAGTGCGGCATCATACAGTTCTGATAGCCTCCTTGGGCACAATAGGGACAACGTATATCTGGGTGATAGGGATGTGTACAATGAGGAAATGTTGGACACCCTTCAGGACAGACGGCGGCAGTCGCAATAGATTGATAATGGCTATGGCATAGATTATGCATTCCACAGCCAAGGCGCACCGCGTCTCTGTCCCCACAGGCGTCACACGAGAGTCGGTCRATAATCCAGAATAAAGTATGATTCGACAACGCTCGCAAAAATTCATTCACGTCGAAAATGACCTGACTCATCGTCCCACCATCCCACAGTTCCCACTGGGCAGCTGCACGAATAAGTGCCATATAATGCCCGGGTCTATGTAAAATACAGGCAAAAATATGAGGATGGTTATTGAGGTCATCGSYTGGCGTCGCATGATGCATAAGAAGGTGGCGACCGTGAAACGCTAACTGTAAGACATTYACAGTAAAGCCTCCTGAGGTAGTATAGTTACTACTGCCCGGTAAACCGTAGGCAGAGAGAGAGAAGAGGACAACAAACGAGGGGCTGTGACAAACTGTTTCGTCGGAGTTTCACCGACTCATCAGGAGGCTGAACACACATATATATATCGTATATATATCGTCACAAAATCTATATATATATATCGTCACAAACAGAACTGCCCGGTAAACCGTAGGCAGAGCGAGAGAAGAGGACAACAAACGAGGGGCTATATATATATATATATATATATATATATATATATATATATATCGTCAAACAGATATATATGTCCTCTTCTCCCTCTCTGCCTACGGTTTACCGGGCAGCTCTGTTTGACGATATATATATAGAATCCTCAATTGATCGGTTGATCGATTACACAATCAATCAAAACCAGTGACTGAGACAAAAAGCGAGGTTCCCACTCAAGCAATCAATCAACCACTCAGCCCACATCTATGTTGCCGCCTGATATTCAGAATCACTCCGAAAAAAATCGAAACATCGCAGTGAGCATAACCATTCCCATACAAACATACTCTCATACGACTCAAAGAGCAAAAGAAAAAGAAGAAAAAGTTCAGATCGTCTGTTTAGCACTCACCTGCGATCACCGTGCATACATTAGAAACAAAAGAAAACGACAAACAATCCACATCGATTAGGTCTCCTGGGATGTCCGTCAAGGTTTCACTGCTCTACGTTCCTCTTCCACACGCATTGGCGAGCAGTGGCGAGCACACACGCAGATAGGCAGGCAGTAAACGAGCAGTGCGGATGGATTGTCTCAACTCACGATGCACTGCGCGCAGTGGGGTTCCAGCGCCCAGAAGTGCAAGGCTGTTTGCGCGCCAATGCGCGCAATGCGCGCCACATCGAACAGTGAAGCTTATATATGAAGATGATGATGATGATGTTGTTGGGGTATGAAAGTCCATGGAGCCTTCCATGGCCCTCGGTCCGGAAATGTCCAAAACGAGAGTGAATCTTCGCCTAGAACATGGAAAGATTCACCGCCGCCCTGAATGATGTCGAGAGTCGTGAAGCAAGGCCGCGTGTGCTATGTAGTGCGGGAGAGCATTTCCTTGCTGTCTTGGACCGCAATTGGACCCTGACGTGGATGTATTTGACCGCAACTACGTCCAGATCACGGTCTAGAAAGTCCTGAGGTGATTATGTTCTGAGTTATAATAGTAATAGACCGCCTTGATTTCAGTCACATGTGCTGTCGACACTGGGGTGGGGCAGTTGCTGATGCCTGCAATTCGGAGTTATCACTGGTCGGGTTCGCGCCGTGTCATCGGTCACCGGGGGCCAAGTCCCACTGGCAGAGCTGAATGTGCTCAACCCCCGAATCTGGACGTTTTTCCTGCAGATGTGCAGAAAATCGCGTTGAGTTTCCTCACCCCGTGGGGGAACACTCTAGGCACTGTGTACCCATTAGGGGACTCTGCAGACTGCTTATTGCGGGTTCAGCCTCCTGATTAGTAGGTGATTTTTTTTTTTTTTTTTTTTTTTTTT